GTCCAGCGTACCGGGGCGTCAGAGCGAGGGGTACAGGGGTCTGCGCAGGGGTCTGTGCAGGGATAGGGGTCTGTATGGACACACCGACACCGCGGCCGCCCGCACCGCTGCTGCAGGAACGGCTGCACCCCCAGCGAGGGGTGACAAGCAGCACAGCCCCCAAACCTGGTCCCTGGCAGATTCTCACAGCTCCGGCTGACTCGGACACGGCTGAAACAAGGCCAGAGCTCGTGCACCCCCCTCCCATTGTTACAGACCACAGCCGTGTCACACCAGGGACAGCAGCTTGAGTCCATACACTGCACATCAGCTGCTTCCCAGCTCCCAGGGAACTGCCTCCTTTGTTCTGTAAAATAGGCACAAACACTGCTGTACAATACTTGCATACACTGCCGCGTCTGGCCCTCTCCAGGTTCCCTGCGGGCTTTGCAGGATTCCTGGCTGCTGTCACTGCAGGGTAGAACACAAGAACTATTAGTCCAGATTTAATGAGAAGGTATTGTCCTACTACGCAGGGATGGAAAGCTGAAGGCGCTGTGCCCAAGCACATCAGTTGGTCACACCAGCTTCTGAACTGCAGTGCGGTGAAGACTGGAACCCCACGGGAAGGAGTCACTCCAGACGCACGTTACAGTTCCCCATGGAAAACTATGCAGGAACAGACACGTCTTCAAGCTCCAGACTGAACTGACCAGCAAGAAGGGACCAGCTGGAAACTGAGAGCTCCTGCTCAAATTTTGGCCAAGACAGAAGCAAAAACACAGGTTGCAACAGTTTCGATACCACTCTACTCAAGGCAGCCAGGACATCCCCACATGATACACAGGTTGCCCTATTAGCTGGGACAGTGGGACCATGTATCACCCTGATGGGACACAGAGATGGGAAGGCAGAAGTGATGTACATAGCACCCTCAAAAATTTGGATAAAGGGACAGAAACTTGGATCTGGCTCCAATCCCAACTGTTGCACCCTCAACACATCACAACTCTTCATCAGTTGTATTATCATTTACAGGTAGTGAATAATATTTGCATAATTCATCAGAGCAATCAGATCAGATAAATATATGCAGGACATGCTATAATCATAAAGATACTTGGATAAACATGAAATAATTTTAAAACATATCTTTGCAGATATTAATATTCAAAAACAAACTCTTGGAATCTTAAAAAATGCTCAAAGTTGGGTGAACTTTGAATGTGGACATCATTGAACACTTTCCTTCTCCCTTTTCCCATCACGTTCAACACAGATGTACCTCGCAAAGCAATACAAACTCTGCAACATCTCAGCAAGAACAGGGATGACAGGAGGAAGGAATGTTGTAGCACAATTTATTAAAATCAGTTTATAAAACCCTAGGACCAGTTCACAAAGAAGAATGGAGGTCTCATCCAACACTTCGAAGATGGGAACAAGGCTCTCCAGACAAGGTACAAAGCATCAAGTTGATCTTTGTTGGAGCTAACAAGATCTATGTGGCAGTCAGATTTGGGAACTCAGATCCTCTCTGGAGCCTTCTTCTCCTTTTTGCCTTTGAACATTCTTCTGAGCCTATTAACACACCAGTAACCTGTGTGCCTACCACAAAGTAGTTTTTGCTTGCATCATTGGAAGCATATAATCTTCATCCTAGACTCTGATAATACTTCCACAAATATTTGCTTCACCTCAACTAAAAAAAACCCCCAAAAAACAGGGAGAGGAAATATTTTGATCACAAAGTAAAACAAATTAGCAAATCAAGGCTAGGATCCCATAAAACGAGAATTAGAAGAGGAAAAAACAATGGGTATGGGTGGATATACTTAGAGGTAATCTCCCTTCAGTGGTGAAAATCTTTGGATCCAGAAACACTGACCAAACACTGCAAAATCAAGTAGCATCCTCCCCCTCCCTGACCCCAGGAAACAAACCAACCCCAGCACCCCAAAATTTGCTATGATCAGCACATCTCAGGCACTGGATCTGGAGGTAATTACCAGAAGGGATGCTGGCAGACACCAGGGTCCATTCAGAGAATATGCACTTGCCACTTCCTCCCAAACTTCAGGTGTCTCTCTTCTCTAGCAGTCTCTTGTCTGCAATTCCATGTCCAGCTGCTCACCCTAGAGGTTGTGGATCCAAGAGGAACAGCAATATTTTCTGCAGGACACTTTCAACTAATTAAATCCTTACTAAAACTCTTCACATGAAGTACTGTTTAAATTAAAAACATTACAAGAGAGGGATCTGACAGTGGCATAGACACAAGATAATGGTTACAGTTTAGAAAACTTACATGTTATCAAATGAGAATCCATAACAAACCCAAATCTTCTCATAGGACTACATAAAGACTTTATGAAAATGGAAATGTATGGATGCTTTTTCCTGTGACAGGAATAACTGTTTACTCTTCAGGTGATATTCTGGTAACTACAGGAGGTAATTTGGAAATATTGACTATTCTTACGAATTCTAACATGAAATGGTGTCCAGATGCATCCAAAATAGAACTGCACCTGTGCTACTCGTATGAAGAGCAGTGACATTTTCCTCCTTTCTCAGTACTCATGTTTGAACTACTAAAACCCCCCTAGCAGAACAGCTGGCATTTCTTCTATTCCCAGGTTCAAAATGGTAGCAGAAGTTACTCTTGGAGATGGCTGTTAAAGCCTCAGTGCATTAATATGCTGAGAGTGCCTCCTGTTCTTTCTCCTCCGCGGTGCAGTTAAAGCCAGAACAAACCCATAACATTTCTAGTATTACTGCACCTTCCCTAGCACTACACAACAGAATCGTGTCATATATATCAGCCTTTAAAAGCAAAGCCCTGATTCGAGTTATAAAAACATAATCTTTCACACTGCTCCCTCTTTGCAGGATAGCTTCTTCATGGTCTCATTGCCTTTGTGGTACAGACTGAGTTGATCGTATGTTTCTAAATTGTTCCTTTTAACTTTTACCCTCCACCCACAGGTCCTTGGCTCTTGTTCTCACTGGTTATTGCACCCTGGGGCTGCAGAAGAGGTGCCTGCTTGCTTCTGCTTCTTGCGGCGTTTGTTCAGGAGACGGTTGTTGGATGTTTTCAAGTCTTTAATTTTCACCTGATCATAGTCCACCCTCATGGTAGCCAAAGCGCTGGTCATCTCCTCCTGAAACCAAGGAAGCAGCTTATTGAAAACCCCGAGGCAGAGAGCGCACAGCCACCCCACGCTACCGCCAGGAGACGAACGTACAAAAAGGAACCCTCTGTTACGCTACGGCCAGAAATAGCTGAGCCCTTTCTGCTGCACCAGACTATGACTAAAGGCTTCGTTCTACTCATGGACTCATTCAGGAGGTACTATTCACACGGTGTTTCACATGCGAGCATGCAGGACCACACTCTGCTATCCTAAATTCCACCGTATCCCTATGCCCAGCATTTCTTACTGGCTGGCTCCGCGCCTTCACCAGCTACTGAGCCTGGGCTTCTCGCACCAGGGCCAGAGCCCTGCTTTCCTTGCTCTGTTGTCAAACTAGGTTAGCAGGACCTAGAATAAAGAGTCCACACAAAGTTGTTTAAAAGTATGTGCTTCAAATTCACACGCTTCCTTAGCTTGAATTAATGTTTAAGTGCAGGCAAATTTTAAACATTTTAACAAGGCTTTGAGCAAAAATCTGCTTAAGTAAATTAATGTCTATGCATTTGGTTCAGGAAAGGAAAAATTATTAAATAATACGGGAATGCTGGTGGCCCAAGGGAATACCTCTGGAACCTATACAAACCACAGGTATAAGAAGTTCTCAGAAACATGGAAATGAAGAATGCCAAGTGAAACTATCTGTTCGATCTCTTTGATATGGGAGGCAAATGTTGCCCAGGTCCTATGAAATTTTACCATTAGATATTTCAACAGCTGAGACTATACCTCAGTAATTTAAATAAAATCAGTAATCAGTAAAATACACTACAGGAATGTTGCAATTATTAGAATGCCAAGCATTGCAAGTGCAAAAAAATCAGAATTAAATTATAAAAGCATGCCAACCTGATAAAGGCCAGCAGGAAAGAGTTAAAGCTTGCAAACAACTTTTAGTCTGCCCTATAGCTTCTCTCTGCAGGAAGCATTCAACTGTCATCAGTACAAACAGTAGGTGAGGCACCTGGTTAGATTAAGGGAAAGACAGATATTTTTATCTCCCCTCACCAAATGTCACAACAAGACAAGGATAAGGTTATTTAATGTTGTTTTACAATACAAGAACAGAGTAGAAAACCAGAATGCAGCTCAGCCCTCCCACCCTGTCCCCCTACATTTTCTTCATATTCTTGACATAACTATAATGAACTTCAAGCTCCCTCAACACTGTCCTTTCTTTTCTGTGGTTACATACAGTGGTTCAG